TCCGTGCTTTGTAACCACATTTTTGTGCCATTGCGGCCCCACGAAACAATGGGTGCGTGATTTTTTTGGTGCAGGCTGTAGCCATGGACATGCTATGTGATCTGATGGTGAATTTGGGGTGACCCAATGCAAAAATCCTGAGGATCCATGGGCTTTTACCTCCCCACTCCCAGGCAGCCTCCTTTATCTCTAGTGTCCCTTATCTCCCTCCCGATCGCTTACTGATCAGCTGCTTCCTTTCAACACCCCCTTCCCTCTTGTTTGCCTTAGTGTCTTTTCCTTAGCTGGAGCAGTTTTTTGCCTCTCCTTTTCTTCTAATTTCTCTCCTCATTGCTTGTTTTAGTATTCCTGTCTCCTCTCCTTGCAAGTTCGCTGTCTTTACTTCCCCCCTCCCAGGCATCCTCCTTTATTGCTAGCGTCCCTTATCTCCCTCCCAATCGCTTACCGATCAGCAGGCTTTGTTTCAACACCCACTTCTCTCTTTCAAAAAAAAAAAAAAAAGCATGATCTGCTTTTCACCCCTGGGCAATTCGGCTCCAGGGACCACACATTCGCTCCATAAGACGCACAGACATTTCCCCTTACTTTTTAGGAAGAAAAAAGTGCGTCTTATGGAGCAAAAAATACGGTAGTTCCCCTTCTAGCACTTATCGTAGATTCATAGAGTCTAACCCCCTACAGTGCAGGAATCTCAACTGGATCATACAACAGCATCTAACCAAGAGTTGCTGTCTGGGTGACAGGCTACTACTTGCGTGGGAGTCAAAACAAAAACTATGCAAGTCAAAATGAACAATGGGAGGGAGCTCTAAATACGCAAGATAATCTTACCTTTTGTTTAATACAACACAGGGCTGGAATTAAAACTGAGGATCAAAGAGACATCGTCTTGCTTTGTGCGAATAAAAACCAGATTTAAAGGGTGGGGTTTGTGTAAAGAAACATCACTTTATGGTATTCATCTCTTGCAGATTGAATATCTAGGTTAATCAAAATTTATGATCCACTGAGTGATATTTAAAGGACCCAGTGGTGCATTTAATAACTAAACATACTTCCTAATTAGTGCTCGTTTCTTCTCTTAAGAAAAGTTAGATATGAAGATGGGATGCTGTTGTCTTACAAGAAGTTCTCTGCTGCCACAAGAAGTTCAATGCATATTTACCCTGGTGGTTTCTGTCGGTTGAATTCCAGGTTTATTTATTTTTACCTGATGGAAGACAGACAAAATTGTAAAGTTCATTATCCTCAATTGGCTGTAGATCGGTGTTCTAATTTTTAAGGACCTTTAACTACAGCCTACAATGGGTAATTTGGGCAGCTGGAGTTGCCACGAAGAGACAAGAAATACTCTTTCTACTGCTGGAGCATTAATTCTTTTGCATCCTATCAGAATCTTTCCTTTTAAAAAAAGAAAAGAAAAACACCTTGTCAAACAAACAACAGGAAGATTGTTGCAGGAACGATTGTTGAAGCCCCCTCGATTCCTTTAGGACGGTGATGGCCAAACTTGGCCCTCCAACTGCTTTGGGACTACAATTCCCACCATCCCTGATCACTGGTCCTGTTAGCTATGGATGATGGGAGTTGTAGTCCCAAAACAGCTGGAGGGCCAAGTTTGGCCATCACTGCTTTAGGAGGAAGCACAATATATCATGCTGGTACCAAGTTAATGGGTCCAGCTGTATACCATTGACCATAGTTATTTGAAGACCACTTTCTCTGACCTGTAACCTTGAATGGTTGGACCAATCAGCTGAACAGTAGCCATCCATTGTTGGCATCCATCCATCTCAGGAGACAATGGAGGAGCATGCCTTTGGGGGTGAAGTCAAATTATGAATGAGATTGTGGTTATTAAGTAGTAATGATTTGTTTGTACCTGTCTTCCCAGCGGCAATTAACTTTAATCACAGGAATGTTTTCACGAACTAAACCCAAAAGGAAACAGGAACCATTCATCATACCCCCCTGTGGATTCCCGATACAATTTCTGTTTGCACAACTGCTGTAAGAGTAGATTAAAAATGATGCATTAAACAGATTTTGGCACTGCTGCAGTCATTTTATGTTTACTCATAACTTAGGGACCGCAGTGGAGTAATATGACTAAGGTGTACCTTAAAGGCATTAAAAAAACACACCACCACCCTGAATTCTGTATCTATCATTTTTAGGGTGGGAGAGAGAAATCATCACAATATAAAGACTAATCTAAATAACTTGCTATAGAACAGGGCCCATCAGTGTGGGAATAGAGCTCAAGAAATGCTATAGACTTTGAAATGATTGTGTTCTTCCAAAGATGCTAGCACTGAACAGCTCTTCCTCAACCACTGCTTTTCCATGCACATTATGTTTATTGCAAGAACTGGTTTATGACATCGTTGTCTCTTTTATAGTGAAAGGAACATCACAGCACCAACTTACAGGCCTTGGAAGGGATCTTGTAGCAGTTGCAAAGTTTCTCTTCAGCCATTAAAGTAATGCCAGCTTTCTGCATATGTCTTCGTGGATGATGTAGCGATTAGACAAAGTGGAGTGATAGCTGTATGCTTTTTTAAATAATCATCTCTGGGAACTTACTCCCAGGTGCCTTAAAATATATTGGTTCACATCTGCTGTAAATGAAATCTATCTACTCAAATGAGACACTCTATCCCAGTTTGTCGCATTAAAAAAAGAACAGTACAGGGTAAAATTGCTGCTTGGGGTTAGCAAAGCAACATTGGCATTGTGAATTCCTGGGGTTTAATTCAGGCATAGGCAAACTCTGGCCCTCCAGATGTTTGGGACTACAATTCCCATCATCCCTAGCTAACAGGTCAGGGATGATAGGAATTGTAGTCCCAAACATCTGGAGGGTTGGAGTTTGCCTATGCCTGGTTTAATCTATGATTTAATCTACTACAAACAAGGCTAACTGAGCAATTCAAATAGTCCCATAAGGTGACCATATTTCTAGAGTGACAAAGGGAGAGGACTCAAGCTAGTGTATCAAGATATAGGGAACTGCAAGTCAGACCACTGGTTACTGCAGCTCTACATTGTCCATGTCTACACTGATTGAAAGCTGCTCTCCAAAGTTGCCTTTTGCATGCAAACCATGCCGCTTTCTTCATTATAATTTAGAGAAGGTGGAGGGTTGTTTTGTTGTTGCCATTGGGAAACGATTGGTAGTCATAAATCCTTGAAATCACCAAAAGGTCTATCAGTAGGTGCTGATCTACCTTCTGCCCATACTTGTGCACTATAGGATTATGGAGGGAGCAAAGAATGGCTTTTTCACACCATGACTCTTCACCAGCCTGACCCATCTCTGCCTCTTGCCCTCCCTCCTCCCATTCTCCTGCGTCAGCTTCTGCCTCTGTTTCTGGACTTCTTTCTGCCACAGACTCGCCCCGCTCACTAAGCTCAGCTTCCGATACCTCCTCTTCCCAGTATCCCTCTTACCACTCACCGTCATCCACCACCAGGCCCCAGGCCTTCTTCCCTTGGTGGTTCCCCAGCTGCTTTCTCCCACCATTCCTCTGCCTTCAACCAGCCCATGACAGCAATTTACAGACCCATGGGGGAATCACAGCTGGGAAGCACAAGTGGGGAGATTGCTGTTGTTCTCATGTCTTGCTCGCAGGCTTCCCAAAAGTATCTGATGAATCTCAGAACAGGGTGAGCCTTTGGTCTGATCAGTCAGGGCTCTGCTTATGTTCTTCAGAACTTGTCATTTGGGAAGGCCCAAAGTCAAGCAGGATCTGCATCTAACATGCGGCGGAGTGGCCCTCCTTAAATATGCATTGATTTTTTAAAAATAGAAATTACTCAAGAGAAAATTATTTTTGCATTTAGATGCCTCATTATTTCTCTTTGTACCTCCTGCGCCATGGTGTCCATTTCCAGAGCTGATTGTGTATTGTGGCAGAAGAAAGCACGATGCGTTTCTGGCTTTCGTAAAAATACGAGTAGGACGTGTCGTGTATTATGATGCTTTGCATGCTATACTTCCTGTAAATTCTATGGCAAAAAAAAAAGTGATAACATCTGTGGCCGATGCTGTGGTTTTATGCCAGTTCAAGTGGTCATCCTTATCTAGAATGCAGACTTGACAAGCACACTCAGCCTCAGATTGCCAGGGTTTTAGCATCCCTGTTCTTTCAAAACCTACCTGATCCATGGAGTCTTTGGGTCAACACCTTAGTCATCATCATCAGGAACAAAATGCAGCCTAAGTCCCCCACCCCTCAGCTGTCAACATCTAAATTGTAAACTTTGGGGGCCTTTTTTGCTTATGCTATTCTGGAAAAAAAATCCATTTATGACACTATATAAATAAATTGTGATAGTGGATATAACAATTGCTTTGTATGGCAAGTGAAATGGAATTTTCTCCCCCTTAAAATGAACTGACCTGTCCTTATACTAGATGTAGTGTGAACATTTTGCTGTTCATATTCTTTAAATGCATGTATCGTTTGCTCTGCATTATCCGTTTGGTACTTGGTCCTCATTATTCAGAATGCTGCTGTTGATCTGACTGCCCATCTATAGGCTCTAAAAGTCAACTGAGCCAAAAAGCTGTTATTGTTACGCTACTGAGAGGAGAGGAGAGGAAATAATGGATGCTCTCTATATCTATATGCACCAATAGGTAAAGTGGATGCGCTCGCATAGTCAATGGGACCGATTTTCATAATGGTATTCCACAAACATGGTGCGCCAGTTCCTGTGATTAATCACATGCAGAAGCCAAGGAAACTCAAGTATTAAGCCGCAAGAAGATGATGAAGGGATTTGCTTTGAGATGGTGACCTCCATTCTTGTGTCATTCCTCACCTCAGGCACTGAACTTGTTATATCTCACAGGCTGAGCAAGGTCAGGCCTGGTCAAGCTAAACCTTTAAGTAGGAAACTTCTAAGGAAAGGAAGGTGTTCTGGGAAGTCGAGTTGGTGACAGTGTGGGTGACATTATTTCCTCTGAGTTAGTACTGAAGGAACACCCTAGCATGGGGCTGAGGCCCCATGCTTCTGTCCATCTAACTGGACATTATATTATCCTCATCACTGTAAGATATCTTACAGAGAGAACCTTTCAGGTGAGTTATTAGGCCAAGGCACCAGGCACTCATGATCCTGTAGCAATTTTCATCGGAGTGCAGCTATTAGTTATAAGAGTCCTACCACAGCTCTATTGAATCAATTGCTTCATGGTAGCCAGTCTGGCATACTGGATAGAAGGGATGTGGGTGGCGCTGTGGCCTAAACCACTGAGCCGCTTGGGCTTGCCAATCAGAAGGTCAGCGGTTTGAATCGACGCTACGGGGTGAGCTCCTGTTACTCTGTCCCTGCTCCTGCCAACCTAGCAGTTCGAAAGCACACCAGTGCAAGTAGATAAATAGGTACCGCTGCAGCAGGAAGGTAAACGGTGTTTCTGTGTGCTCTGGCTTCTGTCACGGTGTCCCATTGCGCCAGAAGTGGTTTAGTCCTGCTGGCCACATGACTTGGAAAGCTGTCTGTGGACAAACGCCGGCTCCCTCAGCCTGAAAGTGAGATGAGTGCCGCAATCCCATAGTCACCTTTAACTGGTCTTAACCGTCCAGGGGTCCTTTACCTTTTACCTTTTTTTACTGGATAGAGCAGGGAAAACCAGATTAAACCCATGCTCAGCCATGAAAATGGCTAGATGGCTTTGACCATGTCACCATTCTTCATTGGACATGTTTGTTTTATGGTGTTAACTACCATGAAACAGTAAATGCAGTAAGGCTGCAGTCCACACCCTTCTTTAATATAAAGCAGCCATGGTATTTAGATATTTGGGAGAGGCCCATCTCTATGGATGCTCGAAGTGGCCTTCTCAGTGGCTGCACCCAGGCTTGAGGAATCTCTCTGGGAATTCCTCTGTAGGAATCTCTTTCTAGAGAGGCCTCTCCAGGCTATGGTTTTCTGCTCAGGGATAAAGACTTTGTAAAGTTGGGCAAGATTATGGCCTGTTGGGTTGGTTGCTTTTCCTTCCACTGACATATGCTTCTGTTTTTGCTGCTGCTTTTATCTTTCACTTTTGACTTCCTCTTGTTTTTTATCTGATCGTCTTTATAGGCTTCTTTATACTTGTTTTTATTAGGCTGTATCTTAGTTAGTGTTACTGCATTTTTGTTAGTATTGCCAGCTGCCTCAGACTCACCTTGTGTGGAAAGACAGGATTAATTTTAAAAATAATAATAGCCCTATCAAAGTTAGTTTGGGCACCATTGATTCTTGCTGATATCCGTGGAGCTGGTTTGCACCCAATAGTCTTGAGAGCTGGAAGTGACTTTCAACTATGGGGACAGATTTGTGTTACCATCAAGGGCGTAGCGGGGAGCTGATACCTGAGATCATTCTCTAACTTACTCTAAGCTGCCAGTACAGTCGTACCTTGGAAGTCAAACAGAATCCTTTCCGGAAGTCCGTTCGACTTCCAAAAAGTTCGGAAACCAAAGTGTGGCTTCTGATTGGCTGCAGGAAGGTTCTGCAGCCAATTGGAAGCCAATTGGAAACCCAGCCGGACGTTCAGCTACCAAAAATAGTTTGCAAACCAGAACAGTCACTTCCGGGAGCCAAAATGTTCAAGAACTAAGCTGTTCGAAAACCAAGGTATGACTGTATAGACTTCCTTACCTGTGCCTCAGGTTTGTGGCCAATGCTGGCACAATGTTACAGTACAATACTTTTTTTTCTTAGTTAACATTCTGGGAACACTTTCCTAGGACCACAGTGGAACTTGCTTCTGAGTGCAAATTCGTTAAATGTCAGTAATTTTTAAAATATAATATGGGTGCAGCATTATTGCCATTTTGCTTTGTTTTCCTCATTCTATACTTGCTGGAAAATATTACTCGAGGTTTCTCTGTCTTTTCCTTCTGCTCCAGTGTGGGTCTCTACCAAACTTCCCCTTTTAAGCTTTGGAGATGTAGTCAGGACTATCCTAATAAATTTGGCTGCCATGTAGAGATGAGCAATAGGCTTGACTGGCCTAAAGATCTCATGCAGCTCTGTGTTCTTCATAACCCATAGTTCCACCCTCAGAAATTACAAGCTGTGCTGTTGCTTATTTGTACAATATTTCAGAGTGACCCACTTTTGTTGTCATGGGCTTGGAAGGATCCCCATGCTGAGGAATTTGAAGACAAAGAGGGGACATTTCTCATAGAAAATGAATCTCCTTCTGGACGCCGGGAAGCTTTTTCTACCAGCAATATTAACATGAAGCAATATGCAAGTCCAATGCCTACACAGGGTGATGTCAAGTTAAAATTCAAGCCTCTGTCTAAGAAAGTGATATCTGCTACCCTTCAGTTCTCTTTATCATGTATTTTCCTGAGGGAAGGGAAAGCAACTGATGAAGACATGCAAAGCCTGGCAAGTCTGATGAGTATGAAGCAAGCAGATACTGGAAATTTAGATGATTTTGAAGAAGATAATGAAGACGATGAAGAAAACAGAGTGAACCAGGAAGAAAAGGCTGCAAAAATTACAGTGCTTATCAACAAGCTTAATTTTTGGATGAAGAGGAACAATTCCAGATCAAATCCATTTGTAGATCCTGATGCAACAGAGCTGAATCCCTTTGGAGACCTTGATATGGAAGGTATAGAACTTTTGTATATTTTTATTGCTTATGGTCTTAGGGTGGCATTGGATGTTACAGAAAGCTCAGGGTCTCCTGCTTCTGCCCTGAGACCTCGGGGTATAGGGAGGAATATGAATTCAACAAACAAATAAATAAAACAGTATGCTGAAATTTCCTACTCAAGTTCAGCCTTTGTCAACACACGGGTCATTGCGCTACACCAAAGATGACTTGCTACTGTCTTCACGTTAACCGATTGCGGCTTGAGAATCTGTCAAGTAGGGTCTAGCCACGCTTGAAAGCGTAGCTGTTTGCAAGTAATAATTTAAGGACCTGGGAGGGTGTATAAACTTCAGAATGGATGGGGGAAGGCTGATTGGTACTTATCCAATGTCTTATGGAGACAAGCTCCTCACTGTGTCAGAGTATGTGGCTTTGCATTTTAAATGCAACTGCTTCACCTAGAAGCTTAATTCTGAATTTTTCAACTGAGCACTAATCTCTTGACACCATTCATCAGTTCTCAACAGCTGAACGAATGACAAGAACAACAAAGAGACACCAACCAATCTAGAATGGCAGAATGGGCACACATGGAGGTCTACCGTGTAGACATGGCATACTTTGGATTTTCTAAAAGCTTTCAACAAACTCCAAGGCTCCTAAATAAACCTATCAGTCTTGGAAAGCAAAGCCTAGTCTTCTTACAGATGGGTAACTGGTTAAATGTGGGGGGGGGGAGAGAGAGGCCCAGTGAAGGTGGAAATAAATCGACAGTTTTCATAATGAGTACAAACCCCCCAACAATCCATTTCGTGAGAATATTTAAATTATTTGTGACCTGGAGATGAAACCATCTCATGGCAGGATGCATATTTGCAGATGACACCAAATTATGTCAGGATTGTTAAATCTGAAGGAACTAATAATGGCTCCAAAGCAATCTCACACAAAAAAGGGCATTGTAGAATGACAGGGAGGATTTAGCACAGGTACAAAGGGACGCAGGTGGTGCTGTGGGTTAAAACACAGAGCCTAGGACTTGCCGATCAGAAGGTCGGCGGTTCGAATCCCCACAATGATGGGGTGAGCTCCCGTTGCTCGGTCCCTGCTCCTGCCAACCTAGCAGTTCAAAAGCACTCAAAGAGCAAGTAGATAAATAGGTACCGCTCCAGTGGGAAGGTAAACGGCGTTTCCGTGCGCTGCTCTGGTTCGCCAGAAGCGGCTTAATCATGCTGGCTGCATGACCCGGAAGCTGTATGCCGGCTCCCTCGGCCAATAAAGCGAGATGAGCGCCGCAACCCCAGAGTCAGCCACGACTGGACCTAATGGTCAGGGGTCCCTTTACCTTTACAAAGGTATTAGGACAAAAGTTGAAAGAATTTGTGGGTTTCATTTCAATCTCCATGTCTAAATCTGTGCTCTATCACCGGGGATGCTTAAGAACCTCCACTCTCTAGACCAGTGTTTCCCAACCTTGGGCCTCCAGCTGTTTTTGAACTACAATTCCCATCATCCCTGACCACTGGTCTTGCTAGCTAGGGATGATGGGAGTTGTAGTCCAAAAACAGCTGGAGGCCCAAGGTTGGGAAACACTGCTCTAGACAACTTATCATTTTTCATCATACAATCATCCTGTTCTCTTGGACTTGGAGAACTTTCTTTCTTTTTTTTAATAATGTTTTATTTAGGATTTTTCAAAAAAAATTAACAGCCAACGAAAATCAACAAAAATCACAAAAACAGTCCACAAACATCAAAAATCCAAACAGAAAAACAGAAAAAAGAAAAATGCAAAAGAAAAATTTTTAGCATAAAAAAAACACTCTTTCATATTGATAGCTTTCAAAACCTTATTCTCTTTACTTCCACCCGCCTTCCCTTCTTGTATTCCACTTTAAAAATTAGTTCAGCAAGATCATTCATTATTTATTTTAAACCTTTATCCCTCTCTTTATAGTCTTGCTTATCTTAATCGCTAGAAACCCCTGCATTTCATTTTCAGAGCCCTCAGCATTCATAAATTTTACAGTATTTTTGTAAAAACAAAAAAAATTCCTTCCAGTAGCACCTTAAAGACCAACTAAGTTAGTTCTTGGTATGAGCTTTCGTGTGCATGCACACTTCTTCAGATACACGTATTTTTGTAGATAGACTTTAAACTTCTTCCAGTCCTCTTCCACCTGCTCCTCTCCTTGATCTCGGATTCTGCCGGTCATTTCTGCCAGTTCCATATAGTCTATTACTTGCATCTGCCATTCTTCCAAGGTGGGTAGATCTTGCGTCTTCCAATGCTTTGCAATAAGTATTCTTGCTGCTGCTGTAGCATACATGAAAAAGGTTCTATCCTTCTTTGGCATCAATTGGCCGACTATGCCCAGGAGAAAGGCCTCTGGTTTCCTTGGAGAACTTTCTGCTTTGCCCCCCATGTCCCAGAACAACATGCATGGCAACCCTCTTGGAACATGACCCCAAACACATGGCACTTACATATACGCAAGGGTAGGAAAAGGGCAAAACAGTTTTGCTAAAGCAGAAAGTGATGAGCATATCTTGGCAGATTTTCAACAAGTTTCAAAATCTGTTGCCTTATTCACCCCATCCCATTTTTCTTCACATATGCAAACACATGGATTACAAGTTTTCAGTAATACAAAACATATTTTGTCAAAAGGTTTCGTTTCCCATAATTGCTCCAACAAGAGTAATGTAGGGTCTAATGTTGATTTTATGGGTTGTATGCAGAGAAACGTCCTCCCTCTAATATCAAGGAAGATCCTTTGCTGAGTGAAAATTGCCTGAATCCATCTCTATCCATCTATTCCTGCACACCAAATCCACAAAAACTAGGACAAAACCCCTAGTAAAATATTTCTGACTAAGAAACACCTGAAGACTGGTGCTGTTTGTGTCCTTGAGAGTAAGTACATTGAGTTCAGGTGGACTTACTCAGTGATGACTAGGTAATGCTTTTATTTGTTTAGCTATAAGCCGTAACCAAACAGAAAGAACATTCAGAATTGAGCCACAAATGTAGCTCTTAATTCCCCGGTTGCCAGTGTAAATATATTTTAAAAAACCACGTCACTTAGTTTTCATTATCAAAAAGCATACAAACTCACTAGGTGTGTCACCAAATTCTTGCACAACTAAACTCTGATAATTTCTTTTCCATGGGAATCTTTATAAAATCCATACTCAGTAATATAATGGTCAATATCCGCAAAAGGGTTACAAAAGTTACTAGTAAGAATCAACTGGATTATATCCTTAGCAATATTACTTGTCTTCAGAACTATTTCCAAAATATGGTTTGCACAACCTTATTTCATCACTGATTCACAGTGACTTCTTTTTTTATATAAATACAGTCGTACCTTGGTTTTTGAACAGAATGCGTTCTGGAAGTCCATTTGACTTCTGGAGTGTTCGGAAACCAAGGCATGGCTTCCAATTGGCTGCAGGAGCGTCCTGCAGCCAATCGGAAGCCGCGGAAGTCGCACCGGACATTCAGTTCCTGAGGCAAAGTTTGCAAACCGGAACACCTATTTCCAGGTTTGCGGCGTTCAAGTTCCAAGTTATTTGTGAACTAAGCTGATTGAAAACCAAGGTATGACTGTAGTGACACCAAAAATAGTCAGCTGAAATTTCTGCACTTCTCCCTTCAGTTTAAATTATTTCCCCCCTTGACGAGGGAAGAACAGCAAGTCCAAAGGTTGCAATGGAGGTTTATTCTGATGTTACAGATCATAGGGAGAGACTAAAGTAGCTCATTGACATTTACATGAAGGTCCCATTACATCACCAGAGTGAACTCAGCGAGCCAAATGTAACTCTGGGGGGACATAACAATAACATCAGTAGCAATTAGAACTGACATGAACTTCTATCGTGAACTTCAGCCTTAACTTACTTCGCTGTCAAGCCATCACATAAAAAGAGAGCATGGAGGAACGCGTCAATCCTAACCACATTTACGAAGACATCAGACCCAAGTAACATGACCTGACTCTGCTAAAAAAAATAATAATCAGATGATGTTGCTCACTCAATAGCTATGTGAATGACTAGCATGATAACCTAAGCACTAGGCTTTGGGTTGGTCTGTAGCAAGCAAGAGACTGACCCAATGAATTTTTCTCATTCTATAATGTTTTTGGGGGACCCCTATTCCCCTCACAGATCTACCGTCCCCAGAGCAGTTTAACAACCGATCCCACTTCCCAAAGAACTCTGCGAATGGATAGTTCAGTCGGTTAGAGCATGGTGCGGATAAGAACAAGGTTGCAGGTTCAATCAGCTACATATTCCTGAATTGCCAGGGATTGGACACGATGATTCTCTAGGTCAGTTCCAACTCTAAAATTCTGTGATTCTATGAATGGTAGCTCTCTGGGAGGAATGGAGGTCTCCCAGCAGTGCCAGATTTAGAGTGTGGCAGGCCATTGCCCCTCACAGGGCGCTGAACCGAGGGGGCTCTGAACCAAGAAGATCCATAATAGAGAAGACCAAATTTTGGGCCCACATAAGGTGACATTTTACGAAAGATTACTAAAGTCTACCCCTGCCCCCAGAGCCAACCCAACTTCAAATAGAGGACCGCCCTCTGTAAAGTGAAATACGTGGGTCATGGCAATTGTGCTAGCTGCACTGGTTTCTTAAAGACAGACATTTTATCTTGAGGCCTTTATTTACAACGCTATATGCATTTTTTAAAAAAGTGCACATTAAATACAAAGACACATTTAGCGTCTCATCTAGTTTAGCCCTCTAACTACTTCAAACAACTCCTTTCTGCAACGATCTGGGGTGGCTTTTTATTAAATTTCAACTTCTCTGGACAAAACTGTGCCTTTGCTTCAATATCTTTTTTTTTCCTTTTTCTTTTTTAACCCCACCATTTACTGAGGTTTGGTAATATGCACATTGATTTAAATTTAATTGAGCAATTAAAAGTCTGCTGATTACGCTAAATAATTAGTTGGCAGACCTAATCCAAACTGCAGATTATTTCCCCTTTAACGTGTTGCATATACATTAGTTGCACTCAACAGAACCATTGAAAAAGCTATAGCCACCTGTTCCCAAGCTTCAAGGGTCGTCTCTTGGTTTTTAACCCCCACACAGTAGCCTCAGTCTAACAGCACAATCCAATACAGTGGTACCTTGGGTTAAGAACTTATTTATTTATTTTTTAAATAATGTTTATTCAAAATTTCATCAATACGTATAATAACCCCAACCCTAGCCCAAAAAATAAAAAATAAGATAAAAAGAAAAAGTACATATCTCCAATTACAATTTTTCATTTGCTTAGTTCTTAAACCTCCTCACACCTCCCTTTTTGTATTCTAGTTTAGTTCATTGTTTCAGCAAATTCTTCCCCACAATTCTCAATTTTAATTTAAATAGTTAATCATCACACTCTATCTTATTTATTAAACAACATACCTTTTCCTTCTTTTAAAAAAATCTATTATTCAATTTACCTTACTCCATTTAGCCCTGTCTTATATTAAAAGTCTTAAAATTTCAAAAACACAACATGTCCATACATTTCCCCTGGGTTAAGAACTTAATTCGTTCCGGAGGCCCGTTCTTAACTTGAAATTGTTCTTAACCTGAGGTACCACTTTAGCTAATGGGGCCTCACGCTGCTGCTGCGCCGCCACTACGCAATTTCTGTTCTCATCCTGAAGCAAAGTTCTTAACCTGAGGTACTATTTTTGGGTTAGCAGAGTCTGTAACCTGAAGCATCTGTAACCTGAAGCGTCTGTAACCCGAGGTACCACTGTACACGTAGAGACAAAAGTAAGCTCCATTGAGTTCAATGGTCATTTTAAACAGCTATGTGGGTCCATTTTTTATCGGTTTTGCTACTATTTTTCCTACGGGGTGCGATAAAAAGCAATGGTGAGATAGCAAACAGAATATGGAAGGGTGTTAAATTAAAATAGGGGTTTTTTATATATAAAAAAACAGCAATTAGCTTGGCTTTGCCTGTAAGAACTGAGGAGTAGGAAGATCAAAGACGAGTCCCTCAACATTCTGCGACGGCCTCTCAACCTTCAAACTTCCCAACCCCTTTGAACATGAAAGCTTGTGTGTTAGGCTTGCCAACATATGGAAGCACTCGATGATGGTCAGTCCCAGTGTGTGTCCCCTACTGTGAACAAAGGCAAAGGAAATTGGATGCACAAGTGCACACCTGCTTATAAAATATTACCTGAAAGTCCCATCAAAGATATGGTTGGAGGAAAGGGAGAAGCCATTTCCTTATGGCCGCTGCTATTATCTTTGTGTTTCCCAGTGACGGTTGCTACAGACCCTCCAGGTGTCCCTATTTATCAGAGTTGTCCCTAATTTAGAGAAGATGTCCCGGTTTCTGATTTTATCCCTTTTCCTTAGGACATCCCTATTTTCATCAGATGAATTTTGGAAAGTATGGAGTTATGTGGGCCCCGAGCCAAGGAGATACGTATCTGTCCCCCTTTTCCTCAAGACGTCCCTATTTTCATTGGAGCAATGTTGGAGGGTATGGAGTTATCTGACCCCTGAGCTGTCTGAAGGCAATCCTGTATAGGGAAGGGTGTTTTTTTTATAAAAAAAAAAGTTTGATGTTTTATTATGTTTTTATGTATGTTGGAATCTGCCCAGAGTGGCTGGGGGCAACCTAGTCAGATGTGTAGAGTATAAATAGTAAAATTATCCTTATGGAATGGGACATCCCTATTTCTGTGTTGGAGAAACGTTGGATGGTGTGTTGCTCTAAGGCTCTCAGATTTGATGCTTTAGTGGGATGTCAAAGAAATAAACAACTATCTGACTTTTAGAAGACATCTGAAGGCAGCCCTGTTTAGGGAAGTTTTAATATTTGATGAATTATTGTATTTTTATCTTTTGTTGGAAGCCGCCCAGAGTTGTTGGAAACCCAGCCAGATGAGCGGGCTATAAATAAATTGTTGTTGTTGTTGTTGTTAAACGTTTCAGTTGAAGGACACGTTATTTCAGGAGTAATCTGTCAGGAGGCAGGGTGGTGGGCGAGACCTGACCCAAAAATGGGTAGTTTGCAGGATTGTTTAGATAGCGAACTGTGCTATACACTTCTATCTCTCTCGCTTTCGCACCCATGCCACTAGAGTTGCCATATTTCAAAAAGTAAAAACCAGGACACCCTGAACATTGTTGAGCTTTTGGGGGGCAGGCAGAGGCCGTGGGACCCTGGCAGCTGCCCAAGAATGCCGGACTTGCTTCCTATTTTCTTGTGATGTCCTAAAATGATGCAGCATGCTTACTTTATATGGAACATGTTAAGGCAAATAAATATCTTGTCAGCATACAAAGTGAATAGGATAATAGCCTCAGGCTGGCTCAGGTGACCAAACCTAATTTTCTTCTAGCCTCAGGTGATTTATGACAGATTTCCACCAGTATTTCTTTTGAGCTTTTCTCTCTTTTGTATAATTCACCTTGTTCAGACTACAGTAAGCCCATGTCTGGAAGCCTTTAAAAAAAAAGGGAAAAAAGACATTTATGATAATCAGAATTTCCAGGTGGGAACTATTCAATGACCTGAACAGGTTAACAGGTCTATCCATAGTTTATATAAGAAGTGGTTGACATACCCAAGAATATGCGACTCTTTCTAAATGTTGCATCTCCTCCTCCTCTATATTTTTCCTGGCCTGTGTTCCTCCATTGTGTCGCTGCTGGAGAGGCTTTCTGCTCCTCCAGAAACATGTCAAGCTGCATCTTGGGTGGTTGTGTTCTTGGAAAAAGCAGGGCCTGTCTGCCCATGAGGCAGACTGAAGCAGCCGCCTCAGGTGACAGAATCCTGCTGGGTGATGCCCAGTAAGTGGTGACC